GAGCGTTTCCAGCAGGTCAAGGGAGATGATCCTTCCCATCCTGCTCAGCACAGGTGAGGCACGTCTGGAATGCTGGGTCCAGTTTAGGGTCCCCAGTACAAGAGTGACACAGACATACTAGAGCAAGGCCAGTGAAGGCCACAGAGATGATTAAGGGAGGGGAGGCCGAGAGAGCTGGGACTGTTCACACCTGGAGAAGAACAGCTCTGTGCAATCTTATGTGCATAAATATCTAAAAAGAGGGTATAAAGCAGATGGAGTCAGGGTCTTCTCAGTGGTGCCCAGTGACAGGACAGGAGGCGATTAGCACAGTGGAGGTTCCCTCTGAGCATAAGAAAACAAAAAAAAAAAAAGGAAGCAAATCTTCTTTACTGTGCAGGTGGTTGAACACTGGCACAGGCTGCCCAGGGAGGTCGTGAAGTCTCCATCCCTGGAGATACTCGAAATCCAATGGGGGACAGCCCTGAGCAACCTGCTTCAGCTGACCCTGCTCTGAGCTGGGGGTTTGGACTACGTGATCTCCAGTGGTGCTGCCACCTCAGCTACTGTCTTCTGTCTGATGTGCTTGGATGAAAGACACTGTATTTTGTTCTTTCAAAATACCAGCACTTGATAACAGACTCGTGTTTTGTAGTATGACAATAAATTAAGTTACAGTTTTTAGAAGTGCAAGTGGTGATTGGATACCAGAGATGAGGCACAGTGATAGCTGAACAGACAGTGGTGCAATGGGGAAGCGGGGCTGCCCGTGGGGCTGCCCTTGGGTCTCCTAGATGCCAAGACACCAGGAAAGCAGGGCCCTCTCACAGGCAGATAGCTGTGCAGTGGACAGCCCAGAAAGGGAGATGGCTCCTGGGGAGTTCACTGTCATACTCCACTGTTAGTCCATGAATGGAAATACACACAACTGGGACAAGTGAAGGGTTTCACTCTCACAAACAGAAGAGGAAAAAAACATCTCTGACATTTAAATGGCCATGAGCTAAGGAAGACCCAACATGTAGCCTACAGTCTAGGATCATAACATAACAGTAAGCATGAAATGATTAAGATTTTAACCAGAAGGGATAGAAACAGCATCTGGAGATGGACACAGAGCATAAATAAGAGCAGCTGTTAAAGCAACCACACAGCACATTGGGGATTTCATCCAGTTCCAAGAATGCCACTGCCTGGACACAAAAAAATACCTAGTTCAGCAGTTCAGATATTTATTTTTTTTCCCCTCCTTCTCCTTTGCTCCCTGGCAGAAGCTGCCACTGCTCTTCTGTCCTCACTTCCCCCTGAAGCTCTCAGCAGCCTGGGGAAGGTAGGGTGCAAGGAGAGGGGACCGCTCATGTTTGCCAAGTCTGTGGAAGCAAAGTAGGGATAAGTGCTCAGGTGCCTCAGTGGTTTCTCCCTGCACCACCTGCCTCCTCTCCACAACTCTCCTGGAGCCTTACTCCATACCCTAGTGATACCATCACGTTTAAGGATTTATTCCACTGTTGTTTTAAATACAACTATAGTTAGGGGAACTTAGGTTTTTTTACTACAAGGAAGGGGAGAGACGGAGATCAAGCAGGAATTGTGCCTAAAAGTTAGTCAGCTGTGAGAGTTTAAGCCTATCCTGAGGAGGAGAGAGAAGGTATCAGCTGAGGCAATCCTGCACTGCTCTATGGCAAACGACAGACGGTAACTGAGCTCCTGACATCTTTCTGCCCATCGTTACCCACCAGCCAGAAGATGCAGGAGGTTGCTGAGGACCTGCTCTGCCTGCCAGAGTGCTGGGAGCTGAGGGAGGGCTGAGCTGACAAATCCACAGAGCCAATAATGTGATCTCTCTCTCAGAACATTTTTTAGCTCTGGGAAAACCACCACCTCGACACACATAGTACCACATCCCTCAGCAAAACTTTAGGTCAGAGCAGAGGAATTCCACCTTTTCTCTCACACCTCAGGATTTCTTCATCTGTTACCTTGGGTTTGTACCACACGGTAAGTGCTATAAGCAGCACAGCAGGTAGGGGCATAAAAATTTCCCATATACAGTCTGCTGTACACCTGAGTTATATAGGTTATACATTGAAATGGAGATTTGTACAACCAAAGCTTATACGAATGGTAGAAATTGCCATTGAGGGCCCACCTTACATACTATAAAGGAGAACAAGCACGCAAGTAACAACAAAAAAACCAAACAAACAAACAGGTTTGGGCACCAGGCTGAAGGGCCACACTGGCAGCTCTACCAACAGGCAGAATCAACACAGGCAGAATCCTACACACAGTTTATATCCTGTTGTAAAACTAACTTACTGTAACACTGCTGGCTGATGTTCCTCACCTTCCACTCATCTCAGCCTAGAGGCATCAACAGCCTCGCTGCCCAGATCATATCATGCTCCAACCCTTGGGTCCACACTCTGCACTTGGACACTGTCAAGTCACCAGGGACTCACTCACGGTTTGTACTGTGATCTGTGGAAACAGGGTTTCTAATAGCACTGTGCACGTGCTGTGTGGCAGACATACACCACCTCCTGCAGAATCAAAGCTGGCTCATTACTACTCACGCTTGGTTCAGATCAAATACTTCTCCTGCCTATAACTGATACTTAACTGCTGGCACCACGCCATAAGCCCAGATGCCATTATGCTTTTAGCATTAGACATGTAAAAGCTGCTTCTTCATTTAAAAGCTAACAGCAGCCCTCTCATCTTTTGCATACAGAACGAACAATCCCCTTTTAACTGCTGTTGACAGCTCTATAATAAAGTATTTCTGGAGCATGAAGGTTGTCCTGTTCAATACAAGTTACCCAAAGATGCAAGGCAACCTAATGCTGGGTTCTTTGGAGCCAAATGAGATTGGGGAAGCGGGAGGAGGAAAAAAAAGAAGCTGCTGTCAAATACAAATACTGACATTTGACAGACTCGCTCACTGCTTCAACACCGAAATATCAGCCCCAAGTTTTAAGTTGCAGTTTTGAGTTAAGTACATCAATCTCTTGCCATGTGTTCTATGAAATGAAAGCCAGTTTTTAAAAGAGACTTTTGTCCTTCAAACTGCTTGAGCATTTATCCTCTGGAGCAGGGACTGCCTTGTGTTGGTTCAAGTAGCATCACAAAGGGCTCCTGGTCCCAGACCAGCAGTTAGATATTAGCACAATGAGCTGATTATTATGAGTATAAATAGCCAAACTGCTGCACAACAAAGCAAGAGGGCATGGCTCAGCATTCTCAATATAAAGAAGAGACATAATTTATTTAGGGTTGAAAGTGTTTGAGCTGAACCAGCAGAGCTATATATACATTGGTTATTCATTCCTTGAATCTGAGAGTTAGGGTCTGAGGGATTACAGTGCTTTCACCCCAGCTTGACCGCCATGGGACATTTCTCTTATGGTTCTTTCCACCTGAACAGGCAGTTACTTACAAATAAGTGTTTAACTGGAGAGCACAATTAGCAGAGACTGTCTAAAAGACAAATGACACACTGAAAACAAAGCAGAGGGTACCAGGCAAAAGGAC